ATACACTGGGTTTGTATTGTTAAGTCCTCAACATGTATTGACAGTATTGTCATTTTTGAAATTTATAGTAGGATATTTTAATTTATAATTACTCATTTAGTGAATTTGTTTCTTTAAACTAGCATAATAAAGACCTCTGGTCTAAAACATTTGTTTTTATTACTTATTTTTACTATTACTATAAAATATTTGAAAATACCTAAGATTACAAGTAGGTATTATATCATCTCAAACAACAAAAGCAGATTTCTGTGTAGTATATCCTTGGTTTAATATGCTAATATCTTCAGGGAAATGAAAAGACAAGCCCCAAACCAGGAGAAAATATCGGCAAAATAATAAAAGGTCGAAATCAAAAGGGATGGTATCTAAAATATATAAAGAACCCTTAAAATTCAGCAGTAAGAACACAGCACAATTTAAAAAATGGGCAAAAGATCTGAATAGATTCCTCATCAAAAAAGACATAGATGGCAACAAAATATGTGAAAAGATGCTCAGTATCATATGCCATTAAGTAATTTCAAAAAAAAAACAATGAAATACCACTGCATGCCTATTAGAATGGCCAAAATCCAGAACACTGGAAACACAAAATGGAGGTGAGGATGTGGAGCCACAGGAGCTCTTGTTCATTATGGGTAGGAATGCAAGAGGGTCACTTTAGTGGACAGTTCAGTGGCTTGTCACCAAAGTTTGGTAATTAAAGATTTAAATTTAAATATAAAAAAATAATACCTTAAGTACCGTATGATTCAGCAATTACACTCCTTGCTGTTTACCTAAATAAGTTAAATTTTAATGAATTTTAATGTGTTAAATGAGTTTAATGTGTTAAAACCAAGAACTTCATATGAATTTATTCATAATTGCCAAAGCTTAGAGGCAACTAAAAGGTCCATCAGTAAATTAATGTATAAACAAATTGATACAACCACACAATGGGATACTACTTAGTGAAGAAGAAATTTCAAGACAGTCATATGTTGAGGCAATGGCATGGCTACTGTTAGGGGCTTTTAGCCAGGTTTGTTGAGAATCAATAGCAGAGAGCCCAACAGAATGATTTAAGATGTTTTGAGATTGGTCAGAAAGGAAACGCCAGGAAAGCTGCAGACTGCAAAGATAGAGCAGAAAACTTCGTTGCTGTGAAGGAACAGGACAGTAGAAAAGATGGCATTGGGGTATCGTGAGAAGCAGCAGGACTCAACCCTTTGCAGCTCAAAATTGCAAAGGTGAAAGACTTTGATTTAAGAAGAGAGCCCCAGAGCACCATATTGCAGATTAGCACCAGCCTATAAAATTTGTTCCTTAGGATTAGGTTCAGAGTGCTCGGTGGTCCAGACACTTGACCCCTATAACCAAGAGAGAAGGAAGCCTAGCTACTGCTCCAGCTGGCAGCAGACCTTGGTGTCGCCCATGTGGTGCTGGTTTTAGGTAAATGCAGAATGCAGAAGTTGTGGGGTGAGGAAGGCTTCCACTCAGAAGAAGACCCGGGAGGCCATGCTGTGTGCTTTTGAGAGGTCAGTGTGTGAAGCTGTAAGTGTGAAGCTGAAGTTGCAGCCAGAGACCCCAGAAGCCTGGTGAAGTCAGAAGGATGGATCATCTGAGGAAAGCTGCAAGGAGTGAGCAAAGCCAGTCCAAGAGAGAAGCCATGGGAGCTGCAACCATCTGCATTGCCATAGAGGCAAGGCCACATAAGCCCTTTGGAATGCACATCTTGTCACAGATTAGGCAAGGTCCTCAGTTTGATCCCCAGTACCAAAAAAAAAAAAAGTTCCTGTGCTGCATCTATTCATCCTTCCCTTCTCTAGAACTTTTCATTTGTACAGGGGCTTGCAGCTAAGAATTTGTCTTAAATCTCAGAGGAGACTTCAGACTTAGACTTTTTAGCAGTGCTGAAACTGTTAGGAATTTGGCAACTCTTAAAGATAAGATGGACTAAATGCCTTTTGAATAAAGTGATGCACGTGAATCTTTGAGGGGCAGTATGGCTTGTGTCTAGATGTCCCCCCAAAGCCTCATGTAGTCATGGGTGGGGCTTTTCAGAGGTGGCTGAATCTAGGTTGTGTGATGCTGGGATTAAGTGTGTGATGCTGGTATCAACGGTGTATGATTACTAAATTAGTCCACTGATTGGTTTGATATAGTACTGAGTGTGGATAATGGGAAGGCCTACCATGAGTGTGAGTGCTACCAGCCCTAAAGGTATGCAGCCTGGGTACAATATAGGGGACAGAAAGCACTGCCGTTATTGCTGCTGCTTCACTGCTTTGCTGCCTTCTGCCTGCCAAGAACTGTTTCTCTTCTGTGATGCCCTCTACCCTACCACCCTGCTTTGGAGCCAGCTGACTATGGACTGAAACTTCTACAAACTGTGAGCCAAAGTAAACCTTTCCTCCTTTAACTTTGCATGTTAGGTATTTTGTCTCAGCAAGTAGAAAAGTAACCAAGATACTTAGCAATAAAAAGAATTGAGGATCACAATGTGATAAGACATGGAGAAACTTTCAATGCAAATTGCTAAATTAAAGAAGCCAATCTGAAAAGGCTACATGCTGTGCAATTTCAACTATGTGACACTCAGGAAAAGGAAAAACTATGGAGTCGGTAAAAAGATCAGTGGTTGCTTTGGTTCTAGAAAAGGGAAGGTTGAATGGATGCAGCACAGGAACTTTTTAGGGCAGTGAAACTATTCCTTGTAGTACTGCAGTTATGAATGCATGTCATGATATATTTGTTGAAATCCAGAGAACTATATAATGAGTGAACCCTAATGTAAACTCTGGACTATAGCTAATAATAATATACCAATATTCTTTATCAATTTTTATAGCTATACCACACTAATAATAAGTGATTCTTTTTTTCTAGTAATTTTATTATATAGTATTAATAGGAGAAAGGGGCAGAAGTGAGGCAGGAGAGGGAATATGTGGAACTTAATTAAAAAGAGTTATTTTCTTAAGTGAAATCTAAATGCATATACTTCACTGAACCAGTTGTTATGGCTTGGGTCTAGTTGTCCCCTCAAAGCCTCGTGCAGTCATAGGTGGGGCTTTTTTAGAGGTGGTTGGATCTAAAATGTGTGATGCTAGGATTTTTTTTTTTTTGTATATCCTTTCATTGGTACGTTTTAGGTGTACAATATAATGACATTCATCATTGGAGATATGCACCTTTACGTACTCTCTTGGTTCTTATTTTTCCCCCTTCCCTGCCCTCCCTTCAACCCCTCCATCCCTCCCTATTTACAAAGACTTTGTTTCCATTTTTTCACTTTCTCATATTAATTCCATCCCTTCCTTCCTTTCCCCTCCCCCTCCCCCTTCCCGCTCCCCTTTGCCCCTTTTCTTCCCATTTCACATTATCTCTTATACCTTTTAGTCCTTACTTACACTTTCAGTTTTCTCACACTAGAGAAACTATTTTCGGTACCTACACATGTGTGTCCTGTTTATTTCACTTAAGAGTATCACCTGTGATGCCAGGATTAAGGATGTGTGATTACTAAATCAGTCCACTGATGGGTTTGGCACCTGCCCCAAGCCAAATAGCCTAGATAGAATGTAAAAGGGGCAGAAACAAGCTGCTATTGTCACTTGTGGCTTGTCACTTGCTTTCTTTTGCTGTCTTCTGCCTGCCAAGAACTGTTTCTCTTCTGTGATGCCCTCTACCCTACCACCCTGCTTTGGAGCCAGCTGACTATGGACTGAAACCTCTGCCAACTGAGCCAAATAAATCTTTTCTCCTTTAACTTTGGATGTTGGGTATTTTGTCTCAGCAACAAGAAAAGTAACTAAGATACCAGTTATTTCACTAAAATATAAACGTAATTGCAAATTAAAGTTACGTTATATGTTCTTGAGATATTAAAATGTTGACTTGGGTTGTAACATTTTCATTTACCATTTGATTGGTTACCTAAGGAGATTCAAAAAACAGTATAACTTCTTTTGAGGGATTGGTGGTAAGAGTCAAGCTTAGTACAAGGTCTTCACTTGCTAAACTATTAAGAGAGTGTGTTATATTGGGTATAAATTGGTGGTTTTTTTAGAAGTTTAAATGTTTAAAACCAGGCATGGTGGTACGTACCTGTAGTCTCAGCACATGGGAGGCTGAGGTAGGAGTATTGTCATGAGTTCAAGGCCAGCCAGGGTTGGTTACATAGTTCAAGGCCAGCCAAGAATACATATTGAGACCCTGTCTCAGAAATAAAAAAGTGTAAATGCTTATCATTGATTAAATAAAATTGCTTAAGTGGTCATTTCATTTAGACTTAATGCAGAAAATTCCTTTTTTCCTCTGTGGATTGTTTTTCCACAGTGTTCTGGAGCTGTCAGTGCCAGATGTGGAAATGCCTATTTAAAAATAACAGTATTTCTGTTATACACAAGGCTTTGACTGTTTGCTTCCTTGCTAATAACACTGTGTGTGGGGCCAAGTTATTGGCATTTTGAGGTCAAAATCCAATTTAGAAGTCAGGGCTTACTATAAATAGAAAAACAAAGGGGAGAAAATGAGAAGAGGTATGTATCTGACTGATTATTCTAAGAAAATAAATATCAGAAATTTTAGAACATAGATGTAATTGAACATATTTTATTACGTCTATGAAGAGACAATTTAAATACTTCCTCTCTAGTTGCTGTTCTCTAGTTTCTTAACATATTGTAGATATAAAGAAAATGTATTTTGGAAATTAAATTAATCTATTTAAATGTGTCCCATTTTGCTTCCTTTTTATTAAAACCAGATGAGATGAAATAAGTCTTTAGGAACTCTACCTTCTTATTGCTAATATGATGATGAATAACATTTGATGTAATACCTAATACTTTATTTCTCTTAATGTGGACAAAATAAAAGGAATCAGTAAAGATGACTGTGGTTAGCATTATAGAAAAATAATTTTTAAGAAATTCTTACGTGACATTTATATGTATAAAGCATACTTTTATTTGGAACTGGTTCACTGATGATCTGTGGCTCATTTCCAGGTCCTTCAGCAGCTTTTAAATCATTTCAGGAAAAACAAAGATAAGGTTCTTCTCTTCTCCTTTTCCACCAAGGTGAGTATCATCTGAGGCACCTTCCTAACTGATCCAGCCCTCACTCCCAAGGCATAAAGCATAAAGAACATAGCAACTTATAGCCACATTATCTGTCTTAACCACACAATAATAAGTGATAGTGACATATGCAACTCAAAATTTTTAAATTAATACTTAGATATCAATTATCTCAGAGGGTTACTGTCAAATAGCAAACATTTGTGTTGATATTCTCTTTAATAATTAAGGTGCTATGTAAGACATTTAAGACATTTTAGGATTAAGAAAATAGTAAAATATGTTTTTATAAAAGACTTGACCAGTAATTTCTTTTTAACTTCGTTTAAGTTTTTCTTTTAAGTTTGTTTTTTAAATCAAAAGTTTTTAAATGTTAAAGCCAGTTTCAGAATGATGAAGAGAAATAGTGGGTCAGAAATATGAAAAATATTTATTAATTTTTTGTGCTGGTGATCAAACCCAGACCTTTACATGCTAGGCAAATGCTCTACCACTTGAGGTACAACCTCAGTTTATTGCTCATGAAATACTTATTGCTCATGGAATTTTAAGAAAAAAATCATTAGCACCAGTAATTAATGCCTGGCAAATCCATTCTCTGTAATGGAATGAAACTTATAAACCAAAAATGTGTGTTTGCCTGTCCCCCTTGCTTCCAGTTGCTCGATGTACTGCAGCAATACTGTATGGCGTCTGGGCTTGATTACCGGCGACTTGATGGAAGTACAAAATCAGAGGAAAGACTCAGGATCGTGAAAGAGTTCAACAGTACACAAGATGTTAACATTTGCCTTGTCTCTACAATGTAAGAAAATAAAAGTTGATACCTTGATTTTTATCTAATTGTTTTTATGATTTAGAGTAATTTTAGAGCTATTACTGGATTAATTTTCAATGGATATGCTTATGTTATTTTTATTTGACTTTAAGAAGCAGCCAAACTGCTATTAATTATAACTGAAATAGCAGTATCTTGAGTTTCACATAATGTTTTTTCTCATTTCTTTAACATCAATTCCCCTTATATTAAATAAAGGTTTATAAAGATAACAGTTTTTAACAATGGATGCTGCCTCCCAGATTTCTGAAGTAGTGTTGTAACTCGTGTCTTGTGGCCAGAACAGTCAAGTTTCTCATTCTCCTGGTAATTGGGCAGCACTGCGGCAGCAGTTTCAGGAGCTCAAGAGGGCCTCTGGACCTGTGTTCCAGGCCTGACTCTTCTCTTCCTCTACTGTGTCTTTATGAAGCAGCTCCACAGATAAACATTTTATAAAAGGCAAACTAGTTCTAACACCTATTTATTTATTTTGGTACCGGGGATTGAACTCAGGACCTTGTGCTTGCAAGACAGGCAGCAGAAACACTGAGCTAAATCCCCAGCCCTCTTAACACCTAATTATGAATTTCTGACTCAGCTCTTCTAAAGAAAATACACATATTAGAAGAATATTTAATTCAGTGTAAATACCTGAGTTATAGCAATCTCTTTTGGGAGTAATAAACCCATACTTTTTGACATAAGAATGTTATGGATTTACTCCCACTGTCTTTCAAAAAGAATTTCAAGGGACTTTAAAAATAAATACAAAATGCATGAAGAAAAACAGAGTAAAAATTATCTTAAAATGAGGATTCAGATATATTTGTAATGAGGTACTACTATAGGACTACTAAGATTATTCTTCATTTCCCAAAACTAAGTCAAAAGAAGAGAAACTTTGGATTTCTATTTTCCTATAAATGAATTTGAAAGGTCCTTTCTTGCATGATTCCTTTTATATAATGCATTAAATGACATAGAATACTGTATTCAAATCAGTTTTGTAAAACACACGTAAACATAATGTGTTTCAGAGTGGTAAATACATTAAACAACAGTCGAAATAATCCAGAACCTCTAATGGCAAGTAGTAATCTCTTCCTCATCTTCTGCTCACCTCCAGTTCAGTTTGCTGAGAATTGCTATAAAGATCCTAATTTTATCTCTCCATCTGTCTTACAAAATTGTTATTTAACCCATAAAGAGAATTTTACTTTTAATATGGGGTCTGACTGTGTTGCCCACACTGCCCTTGAACTTGTGATCCTCCTGTCTCAGCTTCCTGAGTAGCTGGAATTACAGGTATGCACCACTGCTCGGTTGAATTTTTAATTTTTAAAAACTATATTTTTCAATTTTAGAATCCTATTTTTTCCAAATCTACTGTATTTTACTTGCATTCTATTTTTATAATTTCTAGCCTTTCTTTTATTTCTTTAGTAATTTTAATCACTCTTTGAAAGAAATCTCCTTTTGGATGGCACTTTTGCTCTATCTCCTCTATACTTTGGGATGCTAAGCCTTCTCCTTGGTGTCCCCTCTGGCTCTTGGATATGGTAGGTGATTTATTCACCTATTTTGTATTTTTTTTGTTTTGAACTTACCTTCAGGAGGACTTTCTTCTTCTGTGGAAATCCTCTGGAGACTGATGGTTGGGGGTTTCCATTTGTATCATATGACTTTGCCTTCTGTAAGGCATCCCACCCAAGGCCAGGTAAGAAGTTTGGAACTTCGGTTTTTCTGTGACTGTATTCAAGAAGTAACTTTTTACATAAGCCATTACATAAATAACCTTAAATAATATAATAAATACATTCTTCAGCTGTGTTTTGCAAAAGACAAGTACAATTATTATTCATTTTTCTCATTTTGCAGTGGATTACATTTACAGTGGTACCTCAGTTCACGATCTTAATTCTTTTCATGATTCTGGTCACAACCCACATTGGATGAGAACCAAATCAAATTCAGTGCTTAGGTTCAATGTTGACCTTATGGAGAAATTTGATTCAGTTCTCGTCCAGTTTGGTTTGTGACCAGAATTGTGGAAAGAATTAAGTTCGTGAACCAAGATACCACTGTAACTTCTACTGAAGCAGAAGTGTTTTCACATTTGCATTAGTCATTACTTGGTCAGAAATCTAAATCTGTCAACTTTATACAGTGTGGAATGTCTTATGAAAGAGGGAGATTTAGTCTACTTTTACTATTCTTTCTTTTCCTCGAAATGTTTGCTATTTTTATTATTTGTCTGTAAACTATTTTTTTAACTTTATATCACTATTCTTCTGTGTTGGATCCATTTTTCTTCAATTCCATGCTATTCTCTCTTTTATTCTTGATTTGCTCCCTTGTTTTACTGAAAAGTATCCAACTTTTAATGATGTTTGGCTCATTAACTTTCTACATCTCTTCTAAGTCCGTGTTCGTACTCCTCTAAGTCCTTGTGGTATTAACATTATCACACACCTACCCTTCTACTTTTGTCACCTGCTCGTATTATCTGTCAGCTATTTTAACTTTTACTTTTTCAGAAGTATTAATGTTTTGGGTAAATCCTGCAACTTGTTCATATATTGGCTCTAAAATTTAGAGGCCAAAATCCAGCATTTTACATTATACCAATTTTGCAAACATTGTTTAATGCTGGGCCAAGTAGTACTAAGATAATGTCTCTGAGTATTTGTGATCTTTTAGCCAATTCATGGAGTCTAGTCTTAATATTAATTAAATTAGTTCTCTTTTATAATATTTCATTTCTTATGTTTGCATAGTTTAGTTTACTTCATATTTTAATCATGACTGTCTTACTCAGTTTTCCCTCCATGTATTTTTGCCCTTTACAATAAACCTGAAAATATTACTAATTCTTATTTTCATTTTCTCTTCTGTTGAGTTCTCTCAATTCTGAAGATCTCCCTCCAGAAACCTTTTATCTTTTGGTTTCAGTTTGGGCTGATTGTTTTCTAGGCATGGTAATATACCATCATCTTGAAGCTTTCTTTCACTGCTTGTCTGCACTGGATCTCTGACTTGTCATGATCACTTGGTTTCATCCCATGTCATCTTCACTTAGTTTCACTCATGGTTTTCTTAGAAAATTTAGTCAAGTAACTATAGGTTATGGCTGAAGGGATGTGTTATGGCTTATATCTAGGTGTCCTCCCAAAGCCTCATGCAGTCATAGGTAAGGTTTTTCAGAGGAGGCTGGATCTAGGGTGTGTGCTGCTGGAATCAAGGATATGATGCTGGGATTGATTCATGATATGATGCTAGGATTAAGGCTGCCCTGTACTATGTGTGAGTGCTATCTGCCTTAAGGGTGGGTAGCCTGGATAGGATGTAAGGGACAGAAAGAGGGTCACTGCTTGTCAGTTGTCACTTGCTGCTCTTTGGTACGTCACCTTCTGCCTGCCATGAACTGTTTCTCCTTTGTGATGCCCCTTTACCATGCTACCCTGCTTGGAGCCAGCCAACTGTGACCTGAAAACTCTACAAACTCTGAGCCATAATAAACTTCTCCTTTAACTTTGGGTGTTGAGTATTTTGTCTCAGCAAAAGAAAAGTAAATATACCTTCTCACTAAATTGATACTTTGGTTCCCTATAGAATCTTGATTGAAATTAGTTTCCTCTCAGATCTTTGAATGCATTACAGCCTTCTGTTATTTGTTATGTTGTCTTCTGTTATTTAGTGTTGCTAAGTAGATGCCAATGCCAATCTGATTCTTAATCTTCTTTGGGAACTCAGTTTTTCTTTATCTGTAGTATTCTGAAAGTTCACATTGGTATTTGAGTCTTAGTGTTGTTTATTACTGTACCAGACAATCTGAAAACTTATATTCTTTTTCAACTCTGGAAAATGCTCTTTTATTATTTCTTCAACATAGCTTTCTTTTTCTATTTCTCTATTGTTTTTCTCTTGCATGCCAAGTTATATATAAGGCATTCTTGCATTAAGCCTTCCTATTATTGTCATGATATCTCTCTACAATTATGTAAGTTTTCTTGGAAGTGCTGTTAAATGAATATTTAACCCTTTATAATGTTTAATATATAAAAATATATATGAATTTATTAAAGACATTTTTGTGGAGCATTGAGATATATTTATGGTATACTTTTTGATATTTTTATTTGGAACAAGAATAGAATGTAGAGAAGGGGCCAAAGGTATCACTCAGTGATACAATGGTTGCCTAGCATGTGCAAGGCCCTGGGTTCAATCCCCGGCATTGTGAGATGGAATAGAATGTGAAGGAACTAAGGAACCAATCACCTGCATGGTCATTAGGTTTCTATCTCAAGATAAGTACTCAGCTTGAAAAGGTTTTATTGCTTTGAGGATTAACCCTTTGTCATTATCCATGTAAGAACAGAGTAACAGGTTTAAAAGTAGACTTATGAGTTGTATTATCATCATAGAATCATCTCATCTCCACAGATAAAGTTTAGGGATTTTTTTTTTCTTCTTGTATTGTGCCTTTGCCTCTGCTTTAAACTCAGTCAGGCCTCACTTCTAATTTCATAATCTCTTAGAAGACTGCAGAATCTTTTTCTCTGGCTAGTAAAGGGCATCTGAGGTGAATTCATATCTAACTTTATCATCAAAGAAGGTAACTGGAGCAGTTGATTACATTTATTAAATAATAAGCCTTTAATTTGTCCACTTGCTTGACTTCTAAATCCCATCCACATTTATACTAAGCCATTCTTTTTGTCCTTTCCAAAAGTTTCTCCCTATCCCACATTCTTTCTTTGACTTCAATTCTTGGTGACATCTTTATACTATCATCACTAATAAGTAATTTTCCAAAGGACAAGTTTCAGTTTCTGTTGAGCATGTGTGTTACTTTTCTCTCTCGTTGCTGAGACAAAATACCTGACACCCAAAGTTAAATGGGGTAAGGTTTATTCGCTCACAGTTTGTAGAGGCTTCAGTTCATAATCTACTGGCTGCCAGGCAGGGCTGGCAAACAGGCATTG